AAGGGATGTATACCCCTTTCCCTTAGCCCTAAGCCTTCAAGCTAAAGAGAATTGGGACACCACTACCCCTTCACGAGCACGCGCAAAACAAAGGGTAAGGGGAAGGGCTAAAGGGTAGAATAGGGATTGGGCCTAAATATCCTTATTCTCCACACACACGAAAAACTGTGTTATTTTTAAAGTAGCAAGCTTCCTCATACTGTATGTACAGCAGAAACGACAGACTTTCATTTCCTTTTTTTTCTTTTCAGAGGCTTTGATTGTCTGAACCAATAAATCACTTTCTCCAACCTAAATATTTATAGCACATTAAAACAGCCTCAGCTCTCCCCGCGGGCCTTGCATGTGCGTGTGTGTTTTAAACACGCCTGAGGGTTCCAAACACTTCTCCTGAGCAACAGTTGTCAGGAGGAGACAGTTTTCCTTTAACGGTGCCATTCAAAACAGACGTGAAGATGATGTGAGAAATCTTTTGTGACAGAAACACCAGCATCTCTACCGTTCGCTCAGATGCTTTAACACATGCTTTACTCCGCTGCGCCTGTGGCGGTATGTGTTCAGGCTATATAAAGACATTCCTCACATGTAATTCAGAAAATAAAACCACAAACCCAATCTTGGTTATCGTGTTTGCTAACAGTATCACTATTCCTGTTACTCAACCAGGGCTGGTGATGATTAAACCTCGATAGAGATTACACAAATAGGAATGACCTATAGCAACACCTAGAAACGTTACTTTTTTAGATCGAAATAAACGTGTAATAGCCAATGGTTAGTGTGTCAACACATCGCACTGAGGTGCTCATAGTGACCAGAGTTCTATTACCGGCTTAAAATCCTTCCCCTCTCACTTAGGGTTGGGTACTGATAATGGCACCAGTACTTTTGGAACCGGTATGCACCGGTGATCAAATCAGCATATGAATTTCGGTGCCTTATTTCGGTGCTGCAACAAGAACGTAAAGCAAGTCGTGCACCAAAAGTGCCGCTCGGCGATGCACAGCGCCAAGAATTCGCAAGTCAGCGGCTGTCCGCGACGCCCAGTCATGACTCATGACTGTTCATATTTCTGCCGCGCCACAGAGTGACATCTGAATAGTTTCATTTTAAATAACATGCGAATGTGCACGTCTGGTGTGTAATCGACTGTCATGTGCGCGCCGTGCCGCGGCTCTGAGCGGCGCTTCCGCTGATGCCCTTAAGAAGCACAAAGGGGTGTGTTAAAGGCACACGTAAGTAAGCGTTGTGTCACACCATCTCTAAATGTTTAATTCTAAACAGCTTTGAGGGATATGGATATCTCCAATGTCAGGCGTTGGTTATTTTAGCTTATAAAAGGCGAAGTGCAAAGTATGGCGCAAGCAGCGAGCGACTCGCTTCATCAACACGCATGATGGCGTTCATCTAATATGCTTAAACTAAGCATTCTAAAGTACGGCTATATTTTACTAGCAATAATTCTGACACACCAACATGCAGCACACAAATGTTGCGTGTAAAGGCTGATTTATACTTCTGCGTCAAACGCCAGTGCATACGCCGTGCATGCGTGATGCATAGCCCTACGCTGTGGCCATCGGAGTCGCTGACGTGCTCTTCTCAAAAAATGTAACTACACGTCGCAACGATGCATAGCACAAGCTCTGTGATTGGTCGGCTTGGTACCGCTGACGAGTCTGGGCGGGACCAAGAGCCGCGCGAATGGCGCAAACCCGATGCACAATTGTTTACATGTGTGGAGTCGCGTGAAGGAGCTCCGGATGGAAAGTTTTGTTTTGTGTTTACCTCATGGTTAAAGTTGTTGCACGTCCGCCGGTTCCTGCCTCAGAATGAGCGAGTTTGAGCCACTTGTACATTCATGAAGTGTTCAGGAAAAGCAAAACATCAGCGAAGAAACTCGACACAGAGGAGCATTAACACCTCACTGCCAACTAGCGTTTTGGAAGTGTTAATGCAGTCCAACAGAGAGAGCGCAGAAGTATAAATGCACAGCTACGCGCATTGCATGCATCGTGGGTTACGCCGGTCACTTGACGCAGAAGTATAAACCAGGCTTAAGAGGAGAAACAAGTCGAACTTATGAAATGTGAGGGCTCATGGAGTCAACTTAAAGGTGAGGAATGGACTGTCTTTGACAGCTTGTGACATCATCTGACACATTATCTGAATACGTTTACATGGACAACAATACTCTGATTTTAAGACAATACTCTGATCAAGAGTCTACCACGTAAACAGTGATTTTTCAATCTTAAAAGACCACAGACACAAACTGCAGAGGAAACATTTATAGGCTGGTGACGCAATGACGTTGATGGATCTATGTGCTATAACATGTAATTGGGAATCATGAATGTAACTAGAGCTGCACGATTCTGGCTAAAATGAGAATCGCGATTTTTTTGGTTAAAATACAGATCACGATTCTCTCATGATTCTGTAGATGTAAAATAAAGGTTAATGCAGGGCTCAACAATAAGGACTGCCCGATGGCCCGGGGCCAGCGTGAGGGATGTTCAGGACAGTAGAGAGAATTGTTACTGGCCCGATCAGGCCAGTGCTGCCATGTCACAAAACTTAAATTTGCCTTTGACTATTTGTCAATTACGTGCATATATAAAGTTTTAGAATTGAATAACAATTTGTGCTTTTAAGTCTTTGAATGTTTCGCCTTTTCTATGAAGTCGTAAACCCCATATTGCTTTTTGGTTCCTTTTATCTCATTGGATGTTGTGAGCACATTATTATTTTACATAACCTGGTAAAAACCAGTAAAGTGAAGAGACGGCAACATCAAATTATGAGGCTAAAAGAAAACGTCTGTTTCTAGCGTTGTGGAAGATATTTACATGGGTACAACAAGAAGTGATGTTTTGCATAGTTTTCTGTCACTTTTAGGTCAGCCACCTTTTGTTTTGCAACAAAATACCTGCACATACAGCTTTATTTTACTGCTAAATATTTTTAAAAAATTTTAAATATTTAAATTCTAGATTTACAGCATTATTTTTGACACATCATTTAAAATATGTGGCTAAGAATTAGCTATTTTTTTATTAAATTCTTTTAAGTGGGGCCAGTAAAAATTTTGGCAGGGCAAGTAAAAATCTAAACCAGTGGTCCAATCAGGCCAGTAAAAAATATCCTTAGCGTTGAACCCTGTAATATGAGTCGGCAATTACTATTGTTTTTTCTCAAACATATGGTAAAACAACAATAATAATATCATGTGTAGGTCTACTGGTTTCTATTAATAATTCTATTCTACTTATAATAATTCTGATGTTGAATTATGTTTGAGATATAGGCCTATGCTTGCAATCATTGAGAACATTATTAGACCATTTAATTCACTGGTAAAATCAACAATATATAGGCTAGAGTAGTTATACTGACGCTGTAAACATTTATTTTCATGCACAACTGTGTGTTCGATATGAAAGAAAAAACATATCAAATGCTTGTCGCAATCATAACTCTAAAATGAGACATGATTATTTAAATGAAGTGCACACTTTCAGTTTTACTTTCACTGCAAAGTGCTGTCCATACTTAACGTGCGGCATCCAAACGATCACTCTGTGCCACAAACTCAATATTATTTACAAATTTATTACCTGTTACTCACAGCAGGCTCTGTTCACTAAAGGAGACGTCTAACAGTAGGGCGCGTGCACGCACTACAGCTCACGATCAGCAGCTCACGTCCCGTGTGATTTCCCGGCCGCGAATACAGCATTATATGAAGACAAAAATGACATTTTAGGTGAATTATACCTTATAAATACAGTATGTGACTCATTCAACATCATTTGGAGGTGTCCATGTCGCTGAGCAATGTATGTGAAAGAATGAAAAAACTCGTGCAGCCGCCTTTACTTCTCTCCTGAACTTGAAAATATGATTGGCAGAATCGTAGAAATGCTGGATTAAGAACGTCTAGGGGGTCGAATCGAGATCGCCATCTTTTTACGATTAATTGTGCAGCTCTACATGTAAAAAAGCAGCTCATGTAAACACCTGAATCATATTATTGTCTCATTCGGTGTAGCCTGGTTTTAATCACAGCCATTCCACAGGTTAGTAATCTAATGTAATGTTAATAGCATAATGCAAATCTTGCATTCATGCTAACAAACAAATGATCAAAAGAAATATATCAATGCAATTCAAATAAGTAAAATCTGACTTGACGTTTACTTTAAATGTATTATAAATGTATATTTATATTGTTCAATTAGAAAGATGAAGATATATATATATATATATATATATATAGTCGATTAATTTTGTGGCTAAAAAGTATCGTTTCAGGCACTGCTTTGGCACCAGTACCATTTTAAAAGCATCAATTTAGCACCGGTATCGAATAAAAAAAATAACGATACCCAACCCTAGGGTCAGCACATCGCACTGAGGTGCTCATAGTGAGCAGAGTTCGATTACCGGCTTAAAATCCTTCCCCTCTCACTGCTCCCCACACTTTCCTATCTCCACTCCAGAGCAGGATTCCTGCGATGACCACCAGCGCAATACCGCCGCAGTTTCAGTTTAAACTTAGTAAAGACAAGCTTCTTTGGCGATGATGTATAGTGTTAGATTTTACATTTAGCAGTCATTTGTGCTGAACACACAGTGAATGCATCAAGATTTTGGCTACTAAACAGTTGATCTATTCCGAGTCTTTTAGCACTAGATTAATCTCGGCTGGCGGATCAACATTCATCACATGATTTCTCTCATCGGTAACATTATTTGTAACTATATATATATATATATATATATATATATATATATATATATATATATATATATATATATATATATATATATATATATATATATATAATTTAAACAATAACAAAAGGCACAGGAACAAAGCAGAGTATGCTAACGCTCTACGAAATAAAACGAAACGGTAACCCATTTAATTACAATTTTTTTTAAAAATCAATTTGCAGTGTGTAGTGACCGTGTCTATGTGTGTTGTGTTTCAGCTGCCAGTGATGAGCGGTGCGTTCATGGATGCGTCTCCTCTGGACGACTGCAGCACGGAGCACTCGCTCTTCAACTCATCCGCCAGTGTAAACGCAGGAGCCGCAGTTTCAGCCCCAGCCCAGCAGGAGGAGCAGCACCGAGTGTCTAGTGACGCTGTGTGGCTGTGGATCGCCATCATCGCCACTATCGGGAACATTGTGGTCGTCGGCGTCGTGTACGCTTTCACTTTCTAAAGACGAAGCATCGGATGCACTTCGAATACATACAATTGAGGTCAAAATTATTTGCACTCCTGTGATTTTATTTTTTTTCTTTGTTAAATATTTCAGATTCAGGAATTTTTCACAGTATTTCCATTAATATTTTTTCTTCTGGAGAAAGTCGTATTTGTTTTATTTTGCCTAGAATAAAAGCAGTTTTAAATTTAGTTAAGCCCTTAAATGTCACTTTAAGCTGAATACTAATACCTTGAAAAATATCTGGTCAAATATAATGTGCCGTCATCATGGCAAAGATGAAATAAATCAGTTATTAAAACTATTACATTTAGAAATGGGTTGAAAAATTCTTATCGTTAAACAGAAATTGGGGGGAAAAATAGACAGGATTGAATTCTGACTTCAACTGTATGTTTCAGTCCAGCTATTTGTATGCGCAATTGTAAATAATTGCATTGATTCTTGATGGAAACAGCAAAATGCTTGATGGAAATGCCAAGATGCACATAAATTATGAAAATGTGCATAAAAAACACAGTTTAAGTAGGATAAACTTTTTATTCCATAAGACAAAATGTGCATAAACTATGGAAATATCCTAAATATAGTATATTTCCTAAAACTACGGAAAAGAACTATGGAAATACTTTTAGCGAATAAATTCCAGAATGCAGATTTAATTAAAATGCTGATATGACTCTGCTATACTTTAACGCCCCATTCACACGGGGCTTCTGCGTCAATGCTTGACTGAAGGCGTGTCTGAAGTTGGGGCTGAAGCGGTCGTCATAGAAGCGTCAGCCAATGAAATTCAGTCTGCAATAGGCCACTGTCTAGCTGGTGTATTTGCATACAGCGATCTGATTGGCTGACGCTTCCATCTGCACTTGAAAAGTTGAGCTAGTCCCAACTTCTGCAGCGAACAACGCCTCTGAAGCTGCGCCGACAGATCCAGAATGCAGTTTGGCAATGCTTGACGTCACCCATTCAAAGTGAATGGGAAGCGTTGACGCTGACGCTGACGCCCCGTGTGAATGGGGCGTAAGAGATCATGTGATGATGGAAAAAAAAAAACATGTGCAATGGACAGCATTAATGGACCAATCAGTGGGTCCAAACATCATCACAGTGCTTCAGTATTACTATTCTACTATTATTATTCCCTCCAGCGCTCCCGTCTCATGCCTCCAAAAGCCACCGCATTCACCACTTCATTGCATTTCGTCTTCGTCTTTTAGGCCGTACTCACACTAGGTACAGTTGCCTCGAACCGGGCCAAAGCACGCTTGTCCCCCCTCCCGTCTCCCCCGACGGCCCGCGCTCACACCATATCGGGCCTCGGCACGCTTACGTCATCGCTGCTGCTCTGTTCAGTGAGAAGCGCTCTCTATGGCAAGCCTTTATAGCATTTAAATCTTTGTTCTGACTCCATAAATATATTAGAGATCTCTCTTATTATATTTTGACTAGTCATAATTATAATTCCACTACTCAGAATGACAATTAGAGATATCTGCAATTACAATTGTACTAGTACGAAATCAGATTGGAGATATCTGCAAATATATTATGACTAGTCATATTCCTCCATTGACTTCCATTGAAAAACATTTGCAGATATCTCTAAATGAATTTTGACTAGTAACAATTGTAATTAGAGATATCTCTAACTGAGTTCTTACTGGTAATAATACATTTGGAGATATCTTTAATTCATCATATTTAGAGATATTTACAAATATATTTGAAGATATCTCTAATTAATTTACTAATAGTCGAATTACAGTTGTAGATATCTTGAATTGGATTTTTGACTAGTAAAAATTCATTTGGAGATATCTCTAATTACAACTGTGACTAATCAAAACTTATTTAGAGATATCTGCAAATATTTTTTAATGGAAGTCAATGAAAGAATATGACTAGTCAGTCATAATATATTTGCAGATATCTCCAATCTGACTAGTCGAATTATGATTATGACTAGTCAAAATATAATTAGAGATATCTCTAAATATATTTATGGATAGTCAGAACAAGGTTTAAATGCTAAAACGGCTTGCCATACGCTCTCACCCATAGCACAGTGGAGATTTCTCTAGTTATATCCTTTCAGTCGGTTTGATATGCAGTGACATGCAGTCAAATATTTCGCCAAACAGTCCTTTGGGATGCGGTGACACGCAGTCAGATATTTCACTGAACAGATCCGCCACTTTTGGCGCTCATAAACAATCATAAAGCTCTCGTGCTGCAGGAATGAGGAGGTCTGCTGAAGGTGCAGCTGTCGTGCAGTGAGGGGTTTGTGTCTTTAATAAACTACGGCAGTTTGCCTTCACTGAACAGTAAGAATGATTAATAAATCCATATGAAACAGTCCCTTAAAAGTCACGTCTCGCTTTTCAGTTTTCAAAGCCCAAGTGAACCGCGCTCAGGCACACCTCTTCCAACCGGGCCAGGGCCGGCCAAGTAAACCGTGCTTGAGCCCGATTAAGCGCACTCACACTTCTCAAACGATCCGGGAAACGGGCCTGGGCACAGTACGGATGGCATAGCGTGAGTACGCCCTTAAGGCTCCAGAAAAACACCACACACTGAAAAAAATTATTTAAAAATGATTCCTTGGATTTACTACATTTTTTTAAGCGGTTGTAAACAGTTTATTTGGGCTGAATTTAAACAAACAAATTGAGTTAAACATAAATACATTTAATTTGTTTGTTTAAATTCAACCCATATAAATTGTTTGCAACAGTTCTGCAGACATCATTTTTTTCAGTGCAGTGGCAAATCCCAACAGACTAAACTACACTTCTCTGTCTTATATTTGCTCTAGTTTACCAAGAAGTGATGATTAGGTTCTCATTTGTTTCTCATAGGATGGAAACGCTGCTTTACTTGCAAACGTTTTATGTAATATTTCATTCCTTAACTTGCATCTTTGTATGGAAATATAGCTATTGTTCGTATTTGTCTCATTTCACCATCTGGAGACCTGTGACCTTATGTTCATATCCAGGGGACAATCTGAATGACTCAGGTCACTGAAAGATGACTTTAATACTGATCTGAGAACTGCTGGACAATTATTACATTAAAGGATTGTTTGCACAACACCAATTAAATTTAGACTTTCTTTGTAATTAAACTGGTACGTTTTAAAGTGTAAGTGATGACAATGGCATTATTATGTGAGTATAGAGATGTGATTTAGTGAAAGCAGTGAATTTGTGCACATTTACATATTTCTGTTCAGTCTACAGGCATGAGAAGTACAATACTCATAAATTCGATTTCCTTCGGCTTAGTCCCTTTATTTATCAGGGGTCACCACAGCACAATAAACCACCAACTTATGCAGCATATGCTCTTCCAGCTGCAACCCAGTACTGGAAAACACCCATACACTTGCACGTTCACACTCACACACTAAGGCCAATTTAGTTCATCAATTCCCCTATATCGCATGTGTTTGCACTGTGAGGGAAACCAGAGCACCCGGAGGAAACCCACGCCAACATGAAGAGAATATGCAAACTCCACACAGAAATGCCGATTGACCTTCTTGCTGTAATCACAGAGCCACAGTGCAGCCCCCCACCCCAAGTAAAGTACTTTAAAATGGAAGAAAAAACAATGTAAACATAACCAAAAACTCCAGTGATTTTGAGCCCATCATTCAGTGTGTTTATTTACTTCTGTCTGTAAATGTCTGTAAATATATATTTATTCAGTGTTTTAATTTCAGTAATATTATTGAATGATATGCTGAACTGTTTAGATGAATTATGTTTAATACAGTTTGTAAAGTTTTCTGTCTTTACTTACTGTAGATATATATTTCAAAAGAGCTGCTGTAGCTTTATCAAACAAGTGGTTGTAACTGGATTTGTATTGTACATTAAGTAAATGTTAAAATGTTTGTTTTTTATGTTTTCAGTTTCTATACTCGAGATTATTCTGCATAATCTGCAATTTGCAAATAATACATTTTGTGCAAAAAGGTTTGCAGATTGTGTCTGGCCCTGCTGTAACCATATTGCTCCCTGAAAAATAATAAACTATTTTCAAATATGGTTTTTCTTCTCTAAATGCTAATATCATTTGACTTGACAAGATTTAATTATATATATATATATATATA